ATTAGAGTAGTGAAGGTATCTTTGGTCTTTGGATCTGAGAAAAAGGACGATGGGGAAGATAGTTTCCCACAAACGGCGTCACTGATCTTACCGATTGATCAGAACCTGCAAATGGGCTGAAGGATGACGTCTGGTTTGCTGGAAAGTTGAGGAGAAAGGGGGGTAGTACCTGCAAGTAACTCTGACGATCAAGTAAGAATGGGTGCAAAGAGATACAAGTAACATATTAGGGTGTAAGGTTTTAATATTAGATATCTGACCCTCACATGTGTGGGGGTTTATATAATGCTCCGGTGTTTGGCCATTGGTCCCTATTTTTGGGCCTAGATATGCGGGTCCGTGAAAATATGTAACTACCAGGACTTGGTCAAAACGGACAGTCGTGCCCATAACTAGCTGTTTGTTCCGAGGAAGAGGCGGATTACAGGCAGAGAGGCGTTCTAGACGGTTCCTAGTTGTCTGCTCGACTTGTGTCGGACATGCGAAGAGATAGCCGCTGATTGGGGCAGGTTTCTGGCCTGAAGACGATGTTGGTCTTGCTGACTCTGGAGAGCAATCGACCAGAGATGTCCGACGGAAGGTCAAGGCTAATGGACCATGGTCGTATGGACCACGCTGAAGATAAAAGTAGATTGAACCCAGTCTAGCTATTGGGTCAAGCCAGAATAAATATGAGTTAAATATACTATATTCATGTTATATATATATATATATATATATATATATATATATATATATATATATATATATATATATATATATATATATATATATATATATATATATATATATATAAGCGAAGTTTTATTTTCCGCAGAAATTTTTTTTTGATCACCTTAAAATATTAAAAATCTATGTCTTTTGACTCCTAGATTGAGTGTTTAATTATTCAGTATTTAATTTATACACTTTAGAAGTTAATCCAAAAAAAAATATTTTAGGGTAAACCAAAAAACACCTACATTTTACCGGAGTAAAATAGTATTAACCTAACGAATAATTATATAGTTCAAAGTACACTACGAGTAAAATATTGAAAAAGATAATTGTTTTTTATGACAAATAAGTATTTAGTGTGTGACGATAACGTGGTATTGGAACTCAAAGCTGCAATTTGTCGCTGAAAAAAGACACACATAAAGAAGAATTAAGACTTGTTTTTAGGTTATCTTTAGGGAAAAACTTTTCTCACTACATGCATGCTAATTTTGTGTCTAAAGATACACTTTTAAAATGTATAAAAAAAAATGTAAAGAAATGATTGCGATTGTAGAATGATAATACACGAACTTATGTATGAGGTCAAACAATAATTGAAAAAACAAAAGGTAACTAACTATTTACGACTATGAGAGAGTATCTAACTATTTTAACTTCAAAGTGGAATAAGCACGAAGGAATTTTTATTATCATCCGAGTTGAGTTGAGTGGAGATTAAGCGATATAAGGCATTGACAAACCTTGCACATAAACTGCTCAACATGTTTAGTGACAAAATGATGCAACTTTTTATTTCATGAAGTTCATTCAATGTTCAAAAAATTACATTTGTGATGCTTGCCTTCAAAGTATGTTTCTTCACCATTAGAGCCTCATACTGAATATGTAACCACCAATCCACAAACTCTCCATAGATATATATCATCTACCTCTTATATTCTCAAAAGAACTAAACTCATAAGTATGCAAAATAAGCAACGACTTCAATATATCCTTTTCATCTACAAATGCTTCATCCATTGTGCTACTGTATTCTCAACACAGAAGCTTTATTCTGCAACTCCGCGAGATTTCATGCAATTCTTCTCTTATTGTTTGGATGTTTATTCAACAGCTTGAGATTGTGACGTTGATTGCTCGTCTTGAGATTCCAAATTTTGACGACCATATTGAGACTGAGAATTCAAATGACCATTTTGAGAATGAGGATTCAACCGATGATAATTGTTCTTCGCGTCCTGAATAGCTTGTTTAAGTTCTTTGTACATTTTGACCGAAGAACCAGACAAACTATTTAGTTGACCCAGAAATCGAATCAAGCTTGCTCGAAATCGATCAAAACCTGATATCCAATCCTCTGAGACGTCATCTCTTAATAATCCATCTGCTGATTCACCGCCAATATGAGAATGGGCTTCTTTTCCTTGGTTCTTGTCTTGATATGGTAAGAACCGTGCCGTATCAGCTGCTAGGCTCTTAATAGAATCGACAACGTCCTTGACAGGTAATGTGCCGAGCTTTTTCAACCAGACATCACAGGTGGCGTATATTGGAGGACCGTATTGTATAAGAATTTCAGATTGCGGCCTTCTTTTTCTTTTGAATGATTTTTGTTGAAGAGGAACGCATTTGTGAATCCAACCATTTATAGCCTCGAGATAGAATTTTTGAGCTTCGATCCATTTGGTGAAGCTTGATGACAGAAAGTGGAGTTCATTTTCAAGATATGAAGTAATCTGTCTGCGTAACTCGGAATGCATGGTGATTTTAGCATGGCTGTTGTTATATGATGCTGACATGACCTGAAACTGAAGCCTGTGGCATTCATGCATCACTTCCCACATTCGAGTTAACCTGCCGCCAAAGCATAACAGAAATAGATGAATTACGAAAGCAAGAAGTTCATATCAGTCAACACAAGTAAAGCTTATTAGTCATACCCGTCAATCAATTCCTCGAGTTGTGGCTGAAGCTCTCTGTCTCGCAACTCCTCAATCCTCTTTGATATAGAGTCTATCCTGTGAATTGCAACTCTAATTCTTGAGTGCAGATCCTTGACTGCAGCACGAGTTTTATCAACTGTGGAGGTCTTTTCGGCTTTTGATTCCAGGTTCCTTAAGATTTTACACTTCATGTCGTATTCCTTTCTAACAATCTCACTAGCCTGTGATTCAAAGAAATTGACACCGATATTAGCAAACTGACGTGAAACACACAATATTTTGAAACAAACTTTATTTGTTAAAACGACAGTCATTTAGAAACGGAGGGAGTAACACACTATATTTGATCATAGAAATCGGCCACTTGCGTCAAGTCTCTGACTGCAATGCAGCTACCATACTTTCCTATAATAAAGCTTAGAGCTTACAGAGTACGATATATGTTTAAATACTACCATCCATTATACAATATTACCCCTCAAACATACCCCGCTTGAGGCACCTTCTCACTTATCAGTAAACTATGAGTCACACTAAACAGCCTATTTATTTGAAAAACTTAATTGCCAACAGAATGTTCAGCTTTAGGGATTACTCAAAATCCAAAATAATACTTCAACATATACTCATAAAATACGTAAAGGTCGATGAATGTGTTGATGAGAAATATGATACCTTCACTTCATCGTAGAGCTTCCTTTCCCAAGCATGTAGCCTATCCAAGGTTGATGCATGGCTTCCAGAGATCATACATGAACTATCAAAAAGATTATTTGTCTGTTCCCCTAAATTTTCCCTTGAGTTTGCATCTAAAGGGTTTTTAGATGAGGAGGATCGAGATGATGATGTCCTATGCCAAGTTAAGTACTTCATCGAGTTTTGAGCAGGCTCTAGGAAGATGTAAAAAAAAATTAGACATTGAATTTGAGAAACAGATTTGAACAAACAGAAATGAGTATCAAAATTACAAAAAGGCTAAGGAACATTTCTGGAAAAATTAACTTTATTTTATCAGTGTAGGGAACATGAAAGACCTATAGTTAATACCGACTCAGAAATTACCTTCTGGAACTTGACTTGTTGGATCTTCGCCACATGAGAAACATGTCTTACACAATAAAGATGCCAAAGAACCATCTGTCACAGAAAATAACACGTCGCGTCATAGAAAGTTTCATCATTGTATTCTATTTAAATATAAATAAGAATAAGAACTGCTAATAAACAGAAGCCAGAAACATTACTTTCTTTTCCTGGGAATATCGGTCGAAAGTGAAATTTATTTGCTTCAAGCATCCTTGGAACCTCTATACCAGATTCTGAAGCTCTAACAAAGAGAATCTCAATATCTTTCATGCTCGAAAAGAAATTCTTAGGGGTGATTTTATTTTCACTATGGCTTTCTTTCTCCATTGGTTTGTTTATTTCGGGTGAAGCCAAAGCTACCATAGGTACTTTCTTCGATGAAGATATATAAGGAGAGTTCCCCTTCTCCTCGTTTACTGATTCAACTTCAGAAACTGAATCCCCTTTCATAGGTGAAACACTTGCTTGAACATGGTTAATACTATTAGCTCTATTTAGATTTTCAAATCTTTGGACTAGTGTTTCTGCAGAAGGCACTTCGTCAAATTCATCTTCCGAATCCCGCGAGCCGCTAGAAGAAACCTTCTCTTCATCATCTTCCAACTCAGGAATTTCTTCCCCGTCGTCATGATGAGGCGTGCCCTTTGCATCTTGAAAAGAAAACTGATGATCAACAGGATTAAAAAGACCGAAAAAATCCCATTGTGGAGTCCCATCCGGAAGAGAAGAATCTTCAAATGCTTCTGTTTCAGACATTCGATTTCCATTTTGTGCAAGGCCTGATGACGTTACCGTCGCTATAACAGGTACAGGTGGTTTTTCTTCAACTTTCTTGGAAGAAAAACTGCTAAGTTTCATATGATTCGCATGGAACTTAGTAGAACTACTCGGAGGAGAAGGAGTTGGATACAAGTTTTGCATTTCGGCTGCATCAATATGTTGCGACATAGACGGCGAAGACTGCGACATTGCCTTATCGGTTAAAGCAAGTGCTTCTGGTGTTGCATTAGTGTATAAAGAAGACTCCGTGTGAGGCTCAGGTTCTGTGAATTTTTTAAGAGCCATTCCTACAGTTTTCAGTGACTGAACATATGAAATATGTGCAGCTGCAAGCGAGCAACGCCCGTCAAGCGCTTGCCTAACGAATTTCTTCCTTTCACGGCACAATTGCAGTGCTTTATCATCCTCCATTTTAGAGCTTGAAGCTCCCATTTTCCCAAATCTAACTTGCCTTTTCCCTTTGTGGAAACCCTAGACCTTAATTCCTATCTGCAAATTCATTCAACATCAAGTTCATTAGATTAATCTATACCGGAACCAAAACCAGTTCAACTCGAGAACATCCAAACATGTCAAAATCAATTGTCTACTCTGAAAGTGGAATTTCAAGTAGTAGACACAAAACATTGCAAAACTAGCAACAATTTCAACAAGTGTTTTTTTTCTCTTCCTTCAAATACATAAAAACCAGATTCTTTTAGACTACGATCAGATATCATAAAATGAACGTTGCAGAATTGAGCGGGGCAGAATGGAACTGAGTAGGATGTAGCATAATGGAACAGAGCGGAGTGAAGATTTTGTTCTATCCTATGGAAATTAATTTTAGCCTGAATCGGAGAGAAAGAAATATGGTGGTAAGTGATAGAATGAAATCCATACCACTCCAATCTTAAATGATCCAAACAATAGAATACCACTTTGTTCCATCCTATACCACTTCCGCCCCGATTTCATCAATCCAAACAAAGCCTTAAGTAACACATAAAAGGCACTAACATCAAGCCTAAAAAACTAACATACAAAATGCAAAATGCATCTCAAAAACAAGTTGAAGAAAACAATGTTAGTAAAACCAGTACATCCTCAAACAACACCACCACAAGTCGCTGAAGTAAACCAAGCTCAAACTTCAAACATTGAAATCCCAAATTGAAACTTCAACAATGAAAAACAAAAGACACTGTTCAAACCCCCAATGTGAGGCACAGCGTTTCAATAGATTCATAAAGCAATGAAATTTAACACAAAGGAGGAAACTTTCAAGAAAAAGGAAGACAACCCATTACAAAAAATCAAACATAGAAAGTAGAGAAGATTTTAATTTACCAAAAAAGAACTTAGATCAAACCCAAAAACAGTTTGATATAGAAAAAACAAAGAGGGCACCCAAAAAGCAAAAAAACACAGTGAAGCAAGATAAAAAGAATAAAAAGTAAGGATTTTTGGTGGGTACCGAGTGTGCATATTGAGAGAACTTGGATTTCAGAGATGACCCGTGTAAGAGAATCTTTGACAGATACAAGATTTGGAGAAAAAGGAGAATTTTTCAGAGAGAGAGAGAGAGAGAAACAAATCTGTTCACTCCATTACTGGCTGGCTACTACCATGCAAAAGAAAACATAGGAAGACACAGACATCTCACCGTGGTTTGTGGGGCCCGTTTCCATGTGGGGCCAACTTTTTTAACATAGTGGAGCGTGGAGCCACGCGCTTGGTTTATTCATGGTGTAATTTCATTGTGGACTTGAAAAATAAATGATGTACTACTATCTTATCTTTCTTGTTAAAGGATGTAATTTCCATAATTGATTTTTTCTAAATTAAAAAGTGTTGGAACATTAAGTAATAAGTGGTAGGTTTTTAAATTAGGCAATTCTGTGAGCCTTGTAATTTTGTTGTTACGATCGTTTTTTAAAAGTGAGATTTTTGGTGTACGAATAAGTAATAACTCTAAATTAAGATTAAGGGTTTTTTTTTGGGTACATAATTGTTGTTTATTGAGATTTTACCCTTTATACAAAATGACTTGTCAATACTACATGTTACAACTATTATCAAGAATCAGTAAGAAATTCGTACGTACACGCGAGATATATTTCTTTTAAGATAATTGCCCGGAATGCAGCCCCATTAGAAGTACACCGACTCAAAAAGAAAAAATGGATATCGGCACTCCACTACGCACAGACAGACAGCAAGGAAACCACTTCGCCACTAACAACCGGTAATCTGAGCTAAAACTCGAAAACGGTTGCAACATATCAGTAGTGCAGCTTGCAGGTCCCAACAAGTTGTGTTCCACATAGCAGTAATATTCTAACGTTCGAACCCCACATTAGATAAAAACTCATATTATGAATTTCCGCGCTATTCCAGCGGCTCTAACCGGATCAACTTTTCCAACCTAACAATCTTTTGGGTTGTGAATCCACTGATAGAGGGAGAACTTAAACCCTCTGACTTTACTCCTTAACCACCATCAAGATGACAAATGTATGTCATTGATAAGCGTTTCTTTCCGTCTTTCATTGTTTCTGAATATGATAGCATTCCGCCTTTTTCAAATGGTCCAAATGCACGCATACCAGATAGCGAGAAGTTTTTCCTTTACGCTTTTGCCACCACTGCATAAACCTGTAAATTGGAAAAAAATTCCGCACAGCCAAATTATGAAGAGCACAAGAAATGTTTAGCCATCTCAAAATAGCACTCCAGGTTGATGCTGCAAATGGGCACTCGAAGAAAATGTGGTTCGCATTTTCCTCTTTTTCGCAACCGAATGGGCAAGAATTATGAGCTTCGTCCAAGGTACCTCTCTTGATTAGGTTATCCCTCGTCAGAATTTTGTTTTGCCATAGTCTCCATACCAACACCGACACTTTTAGAGGGACGATTTTACTCCACACAACCGCCAATTCCTTATCTTCATTGTCACGACCGGGAGCCCCATCCAAAACTACTGCATAAGCTTCCTTAACAATATACTCCTTATTAGCCCATATCTACCTATCTGGCACATTTTCCCTAAGAATCACACTCTACAACTTAGCTTTAATATCCTCCTTTCGCCTTAGATTGACTTCGTCTAAAATACTCACTCATTTTTCAACCTAAACCATATCCTCTCCTTCCCTCATAAATGAATCTTTGAGTAGTACTTCCTTATTTAGAGCTAAACTATGCAGACCTTGGTATACATTCTTCAAACATCTCCCTTTGAACCAAGGATCTCCCTAAAACCTAGTGTACGCTCCAACTTTGAAACCCCCCTCCCCTTTATCAATGGATTGTATATCTCTGCACCACAATGACTTTAATCTATCAGCACTATTCGCTTCTCGGCCCATTCCCCCATATTTGCACTCTAAGATTTTGGCCCATAACGATCCCTTTTCGTTGAGAAATCTCCATTTCCACTTTCCTAGTAAGGCTATGTTGAACGCCTTTAGGTTTTTTATTCCCAACCCTCCCTCTTCTTTCTCACGGCACATCTTATCCCATTTAACCTAACTCACTTTCCTCGTTTCTGTAACCCCACCCCATAGAAATTTTTTAAAGAGAGATTCAATTTTATAAATGATACCTGATGGAGCCTTAAAGAAAGAAAGGTAATAAATATGAATAACATATAAGACAGACTTCAAGATGATGATACGACCGCCTATAGACAGGTAAATATTATTCCAAGAGGTCAGCCTACGTCTCACTCTGTCAACCACTGACTTTCACGCGCCCACTCTCCTGTGATTACATCCTACCGAGAGCCTAAGATATTTGAAAGGGGCTGCCCTAACCTTGCAATTTAAAACCTTTGCGGCCTCTTCCAACCATGAATGATGAATATTAACTCCGATCAACGAGCTCTTATGAAAATTTACTTTAAGACCCGATATCAACTCAAAAATTCGAAGGACTGACTTAATCGCCCAACTGTTCTTCCAAATTCTCTTTCCCACAAAAACAGTGTCGTTTGCATATTGAATGTGTGAAACCTTTACCTCGCCTTTACCAACCTCGTACTCATCAAAGAGCTTCATCTGGATGCTTTTAGCCATCATTACGTGAAGACCTTCTGCTGCCAATAAAAATATAAAGGGGGATAATAGATCCCCTTGCCTCAACCCTCTCTCTGTCATAAACTCTTTTGTGACGCTTCCATTTACCAATACAGATATGGGAGCTGTTCGCAAACATTCGAACATCCATCTTCTCCACTTTTCATTGAATCCTATTCTTTCCATTGTGACATCAAGAAAATTCCAGTCCACCAAATCATATGCCTTTTCAAAATTTTCTTTAAATATTAGGACTTATTTCCCTCTCCTTTTAGCATCATCCACTATCTTGTTTGCAATAAGAATACAATCTAGCATTTGGCGTCCCTCCAAGAAAGCAAATTGGGATTCTGAAATAACCTTATTAACTACTTTTTTCATCCTATTTGCGAGAAGCTTAGCAAGCACTTTATACATGCACCCAATAAGTGATATAGGTCTAAATTCGCTCAACTTAATTGGATTCTCAACTTTTGGGATTAGCATTATAAAAGAACTATTAGCTTCTCGAACTAATTGTCCATTGGCATGAAATTCTGAAATAAATCTAACAAAATCTTCTTTGATCACTTCCCAAAACTCTTTGATAAACCCAAAATTTAATCCATCTAGCATGGGGCTCTTCGAGCTATCATAGTCCCATACCGCCTTTATAATCTCCTCCACATTGATTTCAGCTGTAAAAGCCTTGTTATCCTCCATATCAACCCTCTTAAACTCAACATCTCTAATAATTGGCATGTTCACCCCTCGATTTCTATACAATTATGAGAAATGTTCAAAAATACCTTGTTTAACCTCCTGAACTCCTGTTAACTTGGCGCCTTGGACATCTATGCAAGTAATCTCATTGATCTTTGTTCTATTTACCACAAATCGATGAAATAATTTCGAATTTGCGTCCCCTTCTTTAAGCTAATTCATCCGCGACTTTTGCCATATGATGCTATCCTTCATTCTAGACAAGGAAAAGAGTTGATCTGACATTTCTCTTTTAGAAGAAATCTCCATATCAAACCACTTTAATAACTCTTCATAGTATTTGACTTGATTTATGAAAGTTTCTTCCTTAGTCTGATATACTTGAAGTCTTAGAAAATATTTGAGCTCTCCCATCATTTACATTTCAAATTCATTCTTCATAATTTTAGAAAATTATTTGCACAAGGATTCATTAGTTGCACCAAAGATAATATCATCAACGTAGATTTGAAATAGTAAGATGTCATGTTTGATTTTCTTTATAAAAAGAGTTTTATCAACTTTTCCTCGTTAAAACATATTTTCAAGTCAGAATTTGCTCAAAAAATCATAGAAAGCCCTAGGAGCTTATTTTAGTCCATATAGTGTTTTCTTAAGCTTTAAAACATGGTATGGAAAGGTTGAGTTGACAAAACCTGGAGGATGGTCAACATATACCTCCTCTAGGATGTACCCATTTAAAAAGCACTTTTTACATCCATTTGAAATAATTTTAAATTTATGATGCAATAGAAAGCTAATAACATCCTTATGACTTCTAATCTAGCTACATGAACATAGTTTTCTCGAAATTTATTCCATCCTATTGATTATATCCCTTTTCAACAAGTCTGGATTTATTTCCTAAAACATTGCAATATTCATCCAACTTGTTGCGAAAGACCCATCGAGTACCAATCACTTAGATGAAGCTTTGAGAATGAGTTCTCACACATTATTTTGTTCAAATTGATTTAACTTTTCTTGTATGGCAAGAGACCAATGTTTACCGATGATGGCTTCGTCCATTCTCGTTGGTTCAATTTATGAAACAAAAGCCACAAAGGTGCATACCTTGTTAAGGGACCGTCGAGTAGTGACTCCCTTAGAGATATATCCGATAATGTTATGGATATGACGGTCTCTTGTTGGTCTCCATTCCTTTGGAATATATGGATGTTTTGACGGAGTATTTGTTCTTGATCATTTTCCTCCATATTTATCTTTTCCAGGATACCTGCACAAACTATAACTTCTACTTCTACAAGTTTAGTGTTAGATTCATTAAAGGTAACATGGAATGATTAGTCAGTTATCAGAGTTCTTTTGTTAAATACTGTAAAATATTTGCTTAAAATGGAATATCATATGAATATGCCTTCATCAGCTTTCACGTCAAATTTTCTGAGGTTATCTTTCTCGTTGTTAAGAATAAAGAATTTGCATCCAAAACATGTAAGTGGGAGATATTCAGATTTATTCCTTTGTATAATTCATAAGGAATATGCTTTAGAATTGGTCCTATTAAGACACGATTCATAACAATGCAAGTGATGCTTACTGCATCGTCCCATAAATATTTAGGAAGATTAGTCTCATTGAGCATCATCCTTGCAAGCTTTTCCATAGATCTTTTTCCCCCTCTTTACAACCCCATTTTCTTGGGAGTTCATGAAGTGGAAAATATATGTTAAATACCATTCTCATTACATTTTGGAATTCTCCACCATGGCCAATTCTAATGGATGCAATGCTTACTCTCTTTTTTGTTTTGGATAACCTTGGTCAATTTCTGAAAGGAAGCAAACACGTCTCTTTTCTGAGATAATAATAATGTCCATTTATAGAAAGAATAGGCATCCACAATTACGAGAGCATAAACGTTTCCACCTAGACTTATAGTATTGGATGCGCCAAAAAGGTCCATGTGAAGAAATTGTAAGGGCCGGTCACTAGAAAAAATATTTTTAGATTTAAATGAGGCTCTTACTTGCTTGTCTTTTTGGCATGCATCACATAATATGTTCTTTTTAAAATGTAAGTCTGGCAAGCCATCTATGAGGTCTTTATGGACCAACTTGTTTAAGTGATCCATGTGGATGTGAGCTATTCTCATATGCCATAGCCAAGATCAATCCTCATTACTTATGATACATACATCATTTGAAGGAATCTTATTTAAATTCATTGTGTAGTTATTTCATCTTCTTGAGCTCATAAATAGAGTTTTGTTTTATTTAGATTTTTAAACCTTGTAACCAACTGTTGGCTGAAGATTTTGATGATATTATTAGAAGCAAAGTAAATTGGACGTTTCGATTGAAATGAAACAAAACGTCATGTTTCGAAATGGTAGAAGCAGTGCTTCGAATGGGCATATCAAAGCTTGGAGCTTCGAGTGACAGTTAGGAGAATATATTCAAAGAAGTCTCGAAATGATAACAAAGCTGTGTCTAAGAAATGCGTTCGAAGCGAAGAAGTGCCAAAACATTTGAAATTCAAATGCAAACGGGATGTTCGAAATTTGAAATATATGCGCTGGAACATTCGAAGACGCGTGGAAGCAAGAGAGAGGCATTGCTCTGCATGTTCTGAATGTGGCAGAATCTTATAGCAAGACCGTTATGGTCGAAGTAGTATAAATAGAAGTCTTAGCATTAGGATTTCGTGTGTCATATCTATTGTACAAAAAACTCAGTAAACATTCAAATTACCACATGGCTAAGGAAACGAATGCACGAGCAATGTACGTATGATAACACCACATGTTTATGATTTAATGAAAACTCTTTATCATTTCCAGTACTTTCCTTTATCTTCATGTCAATACCATTTACAAGCTTTTGCATTTAAAATGTTTTCATTCGAAGTCTTTTTACTGATGCCTTACATTTAAATGCTTTCTTTCCATTTTAAACACTTTACATTTCATAAACTGTTGTACATTTCATGTCTTTATCTTCAAGTTTTTATCATTCGAACACCTTTTTTACTTAAAGTCATTTTACAGTTTTCTTGCATTTAAACGCTTTCTTCATATTTCGAATCTTTTACATTCCAGAGAATCTCTTACATTAACTGTTTTTATGCTTCGAAGTCATTTACTTGTCTTTTATGCAGTTTTTACATGTCTTTACAATTGACCTTTATTCATGCAATTTAGTTTCGCGCACATTTACTTGATCACACCTTTAGATTTTAATAGAGTAATCGAAGTAAATTAAGCACCTACACAACATTCCAACTACCAACCATGAATACAAGTTCGATCATGAGAGTTACCCTAATGACCAACACGTCCTAGGATCAATCTAGTCGATCCTGCGAGTTACCAGAGAAATTGAATAACAGTCAGTAAGATTATTCGATAGTTTGGAGGACTAGCGGTTGTTTACCAGAAATC